CCGGGCTGCCTTGGACTCCAGTTCATACTGAATTTCTAGCATGTCTGGTACGGCAGCAGTCAATGGTGGTGTGACTTCATTCAGGCCACGATAGTCTACTGTTAGTCTCCACTCTCCATTAGTCTTTTGCACTGGCCATATGGGGCTATTAAATGGTGAGTGGGTCCTGCTGATCACTCCTTGGCTCTCCAATCCAGCATTCACTAGAAAAGGATCCCACCACCTGTTTGTCTTCTTTACCTGCTAATTCCAGGCTACTAGTCCCATTAGCCCAACACTGGAGCAGCCAGGTGACAGTGTGCCTGCCTGGACAATGGTTGAAATCTTTTGGTGTATTTCATAGCTCACTCAGGGATAGAGATCAGGTGGTTACCATTCATTTATGAGTTATAATTGTTACTCATCCCCAAGCAGCAGCTATCTTACTCCTATTTTTGTGAAGGTCCTACTTCAGAAAAGTCTGCCTTGTCCACTTCCTCCTGCTCCCTCTTAGAAGCAGCTTCTTCATCCCTTACCACATGGGCTGACTTCTTCCAATGTTTCTTCTTGTGTATAGAGGCAACTGATACTGGCATAGGTTGTTTCTTTGGTTCAGCTGCAGTGCCTGTCCTTTTGTTGTTAGATCCAGAGACCTTCTCTTCCCCTTGAGGGTACTGAGGAATGTTGAGCAGGTCTTGGTAGGCATGGGCCTAGGCCCCAGCATGTTGCAGTAATTGGAGTCTCTCTGGAATTGCTAGGGTAACAACATACTTTTTCCAAATATTTTACTATTTTTTCCAGATTCTGCTCTTGTTCAGGGGTGAAATTCCAAAACACTGGAGGTTCCCACTGTCCCTGGTACTTGCCCATTACTATCCCATGCACCTTGCTACTCGTAACTATCCAGTCTCTGGGCAGATTCCTGGGTGGTATTCTTAAATAGCTGTTTAACCCTAAACAAGACCTAGAACACATTCAGGAGGCATAGCAACAAGAACATGCTGGTTTGAACATCCTGAGGATATTCAGAATTCTCAAGAGCAATTGTAATTAGCCTGGAGGAGAAGAGGAAGATGGAGGAAGGTATCTTCCCCCATTGATTGACTCTCCGAGCAGAAAAGGTGGAGATGTAATTATTGATAGCTTCCAATAGAGGGCTCCCGAAGTACGGAGATGATGGCGTTGCTGACTACAAATACTACATCAGTCTCAGGATCAGCAATTTAATTGTATCATAAACCAGTGTTACAAAGTGCAACCAAATTATAACCTTACCCCAGCCCCCAGAAGTGATAAAACAGCACACAAGAGGGAACATACACAGCAAGTAAAGTGTTACAGAAGACAAATCTGAGAACATGCACACCAACTCTGAGAGAAAATAAATCGTCGTTGTGTCTAGTGGCTATTAAACCAATATAATGAATGCTTGTAACATTTTTTTTTTTTTTTTTTTTTTACACTCTGGTCACATGTGTCATTATCTCAGTGCTTCATATCCCACACTGGGAACCAAAAAGGACTGTCATGATTCAACCTGGCAGGCAGCTAAATGCCACACAGCTGTTTGCTCACTCCCACCCATAGTGGAATGAGAGAGAGAATGGGGAAAAAAATGTAAAGTTTTTGGGTTGAGATAAAGACAATTTAATAGGACAGAAACGAAGGAAAAATAATAATCATAGTGATAAGAGAATTATAATGTATAGAACAAGCAATGCACAATGTAATTGCTCACCATCTGCCAAATGATGCCTACCCAGTTCCCGAGCAGTGGCCCCTGGGCAGATATTCCCCTAGTTTATATCCAGAACATGACATCATATGGTATGGGGATATCCCTTTGGTCAGTTGGGGTTAGATGTCCCAACTGTATCCCCTCCCAACTTCTCATGCACCCCCATCTTTCTCACTGGTGGGGTCGTGTGAGAAGCAAAAGAGTCCTTGACTTAGCGTAAACCCTGCTTAGCAACAACTAAAACAGTGTGTTATCAACATTATTCTCATCCTAAATCCGAAACACAGCACTATACTAGCTGCTAGGAAGAATATTAACTCCATCCCAGCCAAAACCAGGACATCAACACTGGTGAGGCCACACCTTGAATATCGTGTTCAGTTTTGGGCCCCTCACTGCAAGAGAGACATTGAGGTGCTGGAGTGGGTCCGAAGAGCAAGGAAACTGGTGGAGGGTCTGGAGCACAAGTCTGATGAGGAGTAGCTGAGACAACTGGGGTTGTTCAGCCTGGAGAAAAGGAGACTCAAAAGACCTTGTTCTCTACAACAACCTGAAATGAGGCAGTAGCAAGGTCTCACAATCTGTAATAACGCTTACCTGAAATGAAACTAATTTTAATTGTAGAGGTTGTAGATTGTTCAGGTAGGCCAGATTACTTCCTTTTTCTGAAGAAGCGAAAGTCATGGATGAGGGAACACTCATTATTTTTAATCTTGTGTTAGCCACTATTACAGCAGTATACATATTACTGTACATGTAGTGGATAGAAGGTGGAATTTATTCCTAGATAGATGGAATACAGTCACATTTCAGCTGGCAGTCATGTTTAAGGTTGTGCCCATGCAGTATGAATGATTTATCATCTTAGTCAGTTTTCTGCCAAAAAAACACAGCTCCATTTCTGTTGTAATGTAGAGATCATGTGTAAGGTTTGTTGCCCAGTACCTTTACAGTCTTCACATTCCCTGTATAATAGGGCTGTGATGCATAATCCTTGCTGGATTTGCTCTCGCAGCTAAGGCAGGTCCTGTTACTGTGGGAAACACTCCATGTACTACAGTCCAGTGTAAGAGGTATCAGGAATCAGCCATTAGTTTTCATATTTTTACCACCCTACATTATTGTACTTGAGTGGTTTGCTATGCTATTGATTGATGAGTTATCTCCTGGGTTTTCATCTTGGAGTGAAGACCTTCAGTAGGGAATGGCATTGGGCAGTTGAGAAAAGTAGCCTCTTCATTGCAGCCACTAAGTCATGTAAGGATTAGGAATAAAGCCCTTTCTTCAAGGGGGATAGGTTTAAAGATCAGCTGAAGTTTAAATCATGGGCGGGTCAGTTTTCACTCCTATATCAGTTAACTTATAAAATGCAAGTAATTAAATGTTTGTATCTCCACAGCACCTCTCCACATGGTGAGGAAGCTTGATAGTATGGAAAAGGCAATGCAGGGGCAATGTTCTGCAGAGGAGGAAAGGAATTCCTGGGATTCAGTTGTAAATAAAAAAACCCTAGGAATTGAGTTGAATGATTAGTTAGAAGAGCTACTGCAAACAAAACTTTCTATAAAGAAAGAAGGAGGGAGTAAAGTGGTGATTCTTCAGCAGCTTCTTGTGTGAAACACTTGGGCTCATAATGATTACAGTTCATGAGCTGTCTTACCACTGGAGTTGTTTCCGCTTTGTACTGTCTTCTGTCTCCTCCTCCCTCTAATCCAAACTCTAAAGAAATAAGAGTGGGGCTGGTGTTTTTGCTGTCAAAGCTGTTGCATTTTTCAGGCCACTGGTTGTAATTGAAGTATTTTTACTTGTGTTGTTTCAGGTACTGCCTTTCATCTACCGTGCCATTGGTTCAAAGCATCTTCCTGGCAGTAACATCACCTTTGTTCATCTTGATTCCCATCCAGACCTTCTTATTCCTGTGAATATGCCTGCAGACACCGTATTTGACAAAGAAGCTCTTTTTAGGTAAGTCCCAGGTACTGCATCAGAGTACTTTTAAGTCCACGTCTTGCTGCATTTGATTTACAGAAAATATTGGTATGACTGCATAGGAAATATGAACCAAAGAGGCGTAAGTCAGGCTCAAGTTTTATCTTCTACCTTTTCACTTATGACTAAAACTTTTTTTAAATGGAAAAAGTTGTGTTTTACGAATGCAGTCAAATGTTTATGTTGCATATCAAGCAATTTAAGATTTATGAATTTCCTTTTTTCAGTTGTTCAGTAGTACATAATGTTATTAGCTCAAATGTTTATATTGCATATCAAGCAATTTAAGATTTATGAATTTCCTTTTTTCAGTTGTTCAGTAGTACATAATGTTATTAGCCCAAATGTTCCTCTGCGTAACGGAAGATCACTCAGTGTATGCTTTGGCTGAAGAGCTGTAGTTTTAAAATACCCTTTCTCTCTTCACACTGAAAAATTGACATTGAAATTGAAATAGTATATCCTATGTTGACATATCAAATGTTTATATTGCATATCAAGCAATTTAAGATTTATGAATTTCCTTTTTTCAGTTGTTCAGTAGTACATAATGTTATTAGCCCAAATGTTCCTCTGCGTAACGGAAGATCACTCAGTGTATGCTTTGGCTGAAGAGCTGTAGTTTTAAAATACCCTTTCTCTCTTCACACTGAAAAATTGACATTGAAATTGAAATAGTATATCCTATGTTGACATACTGTCCTGGGTTCAGCTACAGCAGTCATTTAATTGCAGCACATGTTTCACATTCATGAATAACCTGGGCAATAGTGTCCATTGTTAAGTCCACCCCTCGATCACGAGCCCATCTATATGTTGCATCTCTGCCCTGATGGCCTGAGGTGTCATGGGCCCACCGGGCTAAAAATAATTCACCCTTATGTTGCCAATCTAAGTCCATCTGAGCCACCTCAATCTTAGCAGCTCTATCCACTTGTTGGTTGTTCTGGTGTTCCTCAGTGGCGCGACTCTTGGGAACATGAGCATCTACGTGGCGTACCTTTACCGCCAGGTTCTGCATCCGGGCAGCGATATCTTGCCACAGTGCAGCAGCCCAGATGGGTTTACCTCTGCGTTGCCAGTTGCTCTGCTTCCATTGCTGCAACCACCCTAAGGTCCCTTAGTTACTGGAGAGCTGTTATCTCAACTCGTGGGAGTTACATTCCTTCGATTCTCCTCCCCATCCCTCCGGGAGCGGGGGGAGGAAGGAAAAGGGGGGGAGTGAGCGAGCGGCTGGGGGGTTCCAAGTTGCCGGCTTGGTTTGAACCACGACACATGGTGAGTATGGGAAGTTGAACAAGATTTTCCTGCTAAGATCATTAAGATCAGTATTTCTCCGTGACTTCTTAGGTTGGTAGGTAACAAGCCACAGAGTGATCTCTGCTATTCTCTTTCTCTTCCTGTTTTAAAATAAATGCTGATTGCTTCAGTGTTAAGGTGGTCTACAGCAATGACAAGCTGATGCAATTGGTGTGTAAGTACCTGTGTCATCCTACCCATAGTCAAGATTTTGTTCTCTTTGTTGGATGCATAAGAAGTTTTCTGGGCTATATTGTACACCTAAAGAAAAAAAAAGGTGTTGATAATGAGGAAAGATGCTAATCTGCAGGCACTAATTGACTCTTTAATTACTGAGATTATATTTAAATCTACTTAGATCAGTTTACAATAAAACGTTCTCATGAGGTCAGTTTGAAGTTATTTAGAATAGCGTTGATGCTGTTCCTTGCACTTTCCTCTGTCGATGTATCAAGAGAAAAAGGACAACAAAGCTATGTAGTTTATAATCAAAGTGCCATGCTAAGAGTGAAGCTGATTGCACTCTGTAATCCTAACTTTTAAAAATCTGCTATAGACATTGTTGGTCTGTTTTATGAATAAATACTTCCTTTTTCTTTCTGTGATGATGTGATCCTTACAGAGAGTACTAATTTCAGATGATTTGCATGGGGGCTTTCAAGATGTTGAAGATGTTTGTGGTGTTCTTGATGATGTTTTACAGGGAAAGTAACTGTTGTTTCCTGGTTTTCTCCATTCATTACAGTGAATTAAGTATTGAGAATTGGATTATGCCTGCTGTTTATGCTGGCCATATTTCTCAAGTAGTTTGGCTTCACCCACCCTGGGCTCAGCAGATCTCAGAAGGAAAACACAATTTTTTAATTGGGAAAGACATATCAACAACTACAATCAGGTAAATTTTCTGCTGACTTACGCTAGCAATGTACAAGCTATTTCTATAGCTTTTCATGGGTGGGTTTTGGGGGATTTTTTTGTGTTCTTGGATAAAGATAAAAATTCATTTGTGTTTGTAATCTCCTTAGGACCTAATGTGACTATTTGTGTAAATGGGCACACTAAAAATTGTGCCTTTTCTTTTTTTAATAGGTAATTCTAGCTATTCACATTTCATTTCAGCTACCCAGGTTTTAAATTAGGTCTCATGAAAGTAAAAAAAAATCTCAGAAAGCAGTCATTTTTAAGAGAGGGTTAGGGTAACAGAGGGCAGCAATTAGATCTTTTTCAGCCTTCCCTTGTCAGCACAAAACAAGTCCAGTTCCCTCACCTTCCCCTTGTTCATCATGTGTTCTGGGCTTCTAATCACCTTAGCAGCCCTCTGCTAGATCTTCAGCTTATTGATGTCTCTTTTGTCCTGGGGGCCCGAACCTGGGCAGATTATTTCAACTGTGACCTCACTGGTGCTGAATAAGAGGAGAAGTCTCTTCCCTTGACCTTTTTTGCTATGCCTTTGCTTATACAATGAAATTTTGTGATTAGTCTTCATCACTGCAGGGGTGTACTGCTGACACAGGCTCAAGTTGCTTTTAGCTGAGGCTACCAGTTCTTGTTCCTCAGGTTTTTGCTTGTCTGTGCCAACCCTGTACTTCTGTCCCAGCTGCAGGACCTTGTATGTGTATTATTTTAAGTTAATAAGATGCCTGTAGGCTGTTCCTCTAGGCTGTCTAGGTCATTCAGGAGTCCAACCTGTCTTTTAGTGTATTAGCTACTCCCCAAGGTTCAGTGCTTCCTGTAAAATTCCTAAGAGTGCATTGCTGAGGGCATTAATGAAGATGTCAAAACAGTAACAGTCCCTGAGGAACACTACTGGTGAGTAGCTGCTGGTGAGACTTCAAACCATTGATCACCACCATGGAACCGTTGGTCCAGCCAGTTTTTCACCCACCTTGTACTGCACCCAGTGAGTACATATCAAAGATTATAAACAGAGGATCATATGAAATATTTTTAAACATCAGGAAAACTTAATTTTTCAGTGCATCCATTATTTCCTCTACCAGTTAAAACAGAATTATTGATGAGATACACTTCTTGCTTTAGCGTTCAATCATAGAATGCCAAATTCTAACTTAACTTATAGTATACAGTATAAAAATAAGACATAATTAAGTAAATGAGATCACTTTGATAAACTGGCCTGAAATAAAAGGGGATACTACTATTTAGCAAATGTTACAAAATTCATAATTACTTTTTGCGCAACTGTATATCATAGTAACATACTTAAGAAAGCTGTTTTAAGACAAACTGGTTTTTACTGTTTGGGATCCAAACAGGCAGAGGAGTCACATTTGGGCTATGTGGGGAAAAAAATCACTTGGTCTGCTTTCATTCTCTACTCACATCCAGCTATTTTCATCTAGTTCCTTTGATAAGTTTCCCTTCAGGGTGTGCTTACGTGGTTAAATGCAGTAGGACTGACTGACCCTTGAAGTTCAGAGATTTGTGTTCAGCAGAGTTACAACAAAAAACTGGACAGAAGATGAAAAGAAGCTTTTATTTTATTTTCTAAATAGAACCTAAATGTACCAGTCAGGACGAAGTTTGTCATCTTCATTGTGACAAAACTGGGCATTTGGGCATTTAATGCACATAAAGCTTTCCCTTGTTTTTTCTTTTTTCTTTTTTTTTTTTTGGGGGGGTGGGGTGGGGATGGGAGAAAGCAGTTCAGCTTCTATCTGTTTAGTCTTTGGTCTTGCTAGCAAAATTTTTGTTTGGTATCAGCCATGATTCTATTTTTCTGGTGTATGCTTGGGTTTTTTTGTTTGGTTTCTGGTTGGTTGTTTTTTGGTTTTGAAGTTAGTCTACTAGTTAAGCACTGAAACACGTACACAGGAAGGTGGTGAATTCTCCATTCTTTGATAAAGTCGGAGCTCTACTGGACAAGGCCCTGGGCAGCCTCATGTAGCTTTGAAGTTAGTTCTGCTTTGATCAGATGATTGACTAGAGACTTCCAGATGTCTTTTCCAGTCTTAATCAATTTGTGATTCAAGTGCCAATCAGAGACCCTTATCATCCTGTGGGATTCAGGCAGTCCTTGACAGTTTTGCATTCGCCATATTCACTGCATTAGGATTTTGTACAGCTTGAATGGGCATGTACAAATAGTGTGTTTTGCCAGAGTATCAGAATAAATCTTTTGAAGCAAGTTTAAAGCAGAAAAAAGCTTTGGTTTACTGCCTTAAATGAAACACTAAAGCTCCACAACTCTGCATCTGAGGCCTAAAGAAAACATAAATAATAAGACAAAAACTGGTGCTTTCAGTTACCATGAGAACTAGCACACATGTAGAAATAATTCATGATGGCTGAATAGCTCTCCCACAGATCTTCTGGTCACCTTAGCAGTCTTGAAAACAACATTTCAAGCTGCCTTTTGAAGATGGTCAGGTAACTCTTCTTTAGGTTCTAGGCTTACTAAAATCACAAAGGAAGAAAGTGAAAGAGTCCTCAGAAATATTAACTTCCTTAAAGTTTTGTTGACGACAGGTGGCTGGATAGGCAATAGATGTTCTCATCTTAGCAAGCTCAGGATAAACCAGCCATGAGACACTGCAGAACTAAGCTTCAAATTTCTGCTGCTTCTGAAATTATTTGTCTTTGTTGATTGATGGTGATACCTCATAATCAAATGAGGCCTTAACACAAGTGAGCAGAAGTTCACATTTCTTCTTAAGCTTATTTTTAAATCTGAATTTATGATGGTTAAAGCTTAATGCACTGAAATGTGTCTTGAAAATTAAATTCTTCCGGTTTTCAGTGGAAGCAGAATTTTTCAGCATAGTTGGTTTTGTTTGGTTGATTGGTTGTTTTCTTTTTTAATTATGTGGATTCCATTGATATTCCATCCTTGAGTTACCAGCTCTGCCCCACTTAGATTAGGGGATCTGTATTGGTGTTAAAAAAAATATTAAGTGCTACCTATAAATTCAAAATTCACGATGTTTTACTAAATCATTATTCATGGATTTCAGGGCACTTCTCAAACACATCTAACAGAATTTTCCTTAAAAATCCAAGATAAAATATCATAGCTTTGAAATTTTATATGCCATATATTGACAGTATCTTTTTAAATTCTGAATCATGTCTTTAAAAGGCAATTCAATGGCAAATTAATCTTAGTAGCACATAATGTAGAATCTTACTCATTAAAACCTTGTAGGGCTATCATAAAAAATATAGAGTGATTTTTAATATATTTATTCGGCAGTAAAGAAGTAGAAGTAGAAAATCCTTCAATTTAAAAACTGCAGATTAAAATAAATAATTTTGTGTACACAGTTTTATTGCTTTTGTTACCCATTAAACATCTGTTCATTCTTTTCAGTAGCCCTTAAGTGTGCATGCTTTTTTCCAAGCTGTTTACAAAGATGTATATTAACTGTGAGTTATTGTCAATTGTAGGGTTACAGGTACAGATAATTACTTTTTAAGTGATGGTCTTTATGTCCCTGCTGATCAGCTAGAAAACCAGAAGCCTTTGAATTTACACGTCATTCTCATCAATCCGACTGAAGCATCAAACAACCAGGAAGAAAATGGCGAAGTAGCATCTGCTAAGAGGCTGAAGCTAAATACAGATGACACAGCAAGCACTACTTCTGCCTCTTCATCAGTGGTGCCTGACCTTGATTACAACACCCCAAATGTGAAGAAAAAGGAAGTGCAAAATACAAGTGCCCTGAACAGAACAGAAACCTTGTCAGAGTGCTCAGCTTCGAGCTCTCTAAGAAGCAGTGAATGCCCAATAAGGGATGTTGCTAAAGATGTCTGCCAAGCACTGCAGAAAGGGGATGCATATGTTTTAGACATTGACTTAGATTTTTTTTCAGTTAAAAATCCATTCAAAGAAATGTACACACAGGTAAGCCTGACAATGGAGAGGCCTCACGATTCACAGAAGAGTGAATTCACGTAATGTTTGTGTCCATGGGGAAATCTTCATCTTAGCTAAATTAGCAGATCAGCTGATCATGATTCTGTAGTATTCATGATTCATGGTAGTATCTGAAGGAGAGACATTCTAAAAGAGTGTACGCTGCAAGAATTACAACAATTTAATAGGGGTAGATCCTTACATTTGAAATCAGTATCAAGTGCATATTCAAGCTCAGAGGTATATGGCTCACTTCTGCTTGTTGCTTGGAACATAAATTATGCTTGGGTTTCCAAAGGTAATGTTCCAAATACCCACAAGATTTATCAGGGAGGGATGACAGATTGTATTTTTTTTACCCCCTGCAGCATGCTATTGGCAAGCTGCTGTGTTTCAAAAGGGATGGTGGTGTTGATTATCCAAAGAGTAGTGGCTTCTCCTGATGAGAGGCTGTTAATGCTCATTTCCTTTGTCTGGAGTACTGACTATAAGGATGAGCAAGCGGCTGTTGTCTCTGATGCCATCACTTAGAACTTAAGACTCTGCCTTCTATTTCATTTATAACTTGGCTGCTCAGCAAAGGTAGCTCATCTGTATAGGGTCATAAATATATAGATCCTTAAAGGAGCTAAGCAGTTAGTAGGTTTTATAGAATCATAGAATGGTTTGGGTTGGAAAGAACCTTAAGATCATCCAGTTCCAACCCCCCTGCCATGGGCAGAGACACCTTCTGCTAGACCAGGTTGCTCAAAGCCCCGTCCAGCCTGGCCTTGAACATTGCCAGGGATCAAGCATTCAAAACTTCCTTGGGCAGCCTGTCCCAGTGCCTCACCACCCTCACAGTAAAGAACTTCTTCCTTATATCTAACCTGAACTTTCCCTGTTTAAGTTTTCTTGACATGAACAGGATTTTTAGAAACTAACTCATCTGCCCTGAAAGTTGGGTGTGGCATTTGGGTTTACAAGTTCTTCTGGAATATCCTTACTGGTTTTAGCATTTAAATATAGTTTTTAACATTGTTTTTTAACTTCAGCCTGTGCTAGAAAACATATGGCATCTTTGAGTTTCAGCTAGGTTACTGCTTCCTTGTTGACCAGAAAAAGAAAATACAGTTTCCCTTGACTTCTGGTAGCTGGTGATACTCAGTATGTATGACTACAGTATCTTCAGACATTGTGCGGTGCCAGTTGTTCTGAGTCACATACAGTGTACAGGGAAATCACCGTGGGGGTCTTGCCATGTAAGAATAGAATTTGATACCCCTCTTAGGGCTTGAAATACATTCTGAATAACATAATGGAGGAGTTGGGGGGGGTGGGTGTTGTTTCTTGTGCCTTTGTTTGTTTATTCGTTCGTTTTGTGCTATGATAGGTTCTCCAGTCCTAGGAACCACTTTTGGAAGTGGACTTGCACAGAGCACCCAGTGTATCTTTTTTGATATAATGATTTCATTTGCAGTTAATATTTCTTAACTATGTTCCTCCTGTTTTAAGTTGCAGTAATTCCATCCTTGAAATATTTCCCAAGTTAACATTTGAAATGTGAGAATCCAAGGAAAAGCTAAAAAACAAATATAGCTCACCATTCCAGAAGAGTATTGTCTTCCCCACCAAAAAAGCTAAAATCCAAAACATTGCCCTAAAGATGCTTTGTATTTCTATAAATACTGAATAATCTACCCTTCCTTTCTACCTCTGCTCTGAAAAATTCACGTGTTCACTTTTTCAATGCTGTTAAATAACAAGATCTGTTTATCCTTGATTAATTAAACCTTAATATGATCAAGGAGTAGGGCTGACAACCACCTGTAATAGTTTAGTTGTGAACTTGCTGGCCAACTACCCTGAAGCCTTTACCTGTTCTGTTTTCCTTTAAGATCATACTCTCCTGTTGGTTTTGTCTGCCTAAATCTGCCATCTCAGTTTTACTCAGCATCTCATTGAGACCTTAGTTCAGCAGCATGTATGATTAATTTCAGAGACTTTTTAACTAACAGACTGTAAATACTTAGATTTTAAAGCTGTGGTTTTGAAGTCAGGTTTAAAGTTAAACAATTGCAAAATGTTTGGCTGAGGTCATAAAGTATTGTTTTCTCAAGCCTTACCACCTCTTCCTCACCTGCATTTATAGAGAGCTAGCTGCAGTACTAGAGTAGAGGAATGATCAAATTCTTTTTTTGGTGATCAGATTCTTTTTTTGAAGAAGGAAAGCTTTGAGGATTTTGTTTCTCATTTGAAGAGTCTAATTTTTTGCCTCTTTTTTCTTTTTCAAAGACAGAATATGAGCTTTTACAGGAGTTGTACAGTTTCAAGAAGCCTCACAGAAATGCAACAGAGGTATGGTATTTCCTTGTGGGATGTTTGAGGGTATGATTCTTTTTACTTACCCAATAAAAATGAGTTACAAGAAGGAACTTATGAAAGGTGCTTAATGAAGTGGTCTTGAATTAAGCTATGCAGCAGGCTGAATGCTAATCAGCAGCAGCTTAGGATTTCTTCCATATTAAACATTTTGGTTAAACATATGAATTGCATATTTAGCATGAGTGTGAAAATTAATTTCTGTAAACAAGTGGTAATTGACGAGGAAGAAATAAAAACATAGTAAGTCATCTGCAATCTTGTTCTTTTTATGCCTCAACAGAGCTTTGGTTTGGTGAGGCTTTTGTTTGGCTTGGTTTTGGCGGTTTGTTTTTTCCTAATCGTTTCCACCATGTCCCCCACACTCTTCCCAGCTTCCCCTTCCCTGCCCTAGTTGTTCTTCTTTGATAGTCAGAGCTGTGGTCAATGTCTAACTAGTATTTTTATAGAATCATAGAATGGTTTCGTAGGATCATGGAATCTAGTTCCAACCCCCCCTGCCATGGGCAGGGACACCTTCCCCTAGACCATGTTGCTCAAAGCCTCATCCAGCCTGGCCTTTTTGGTTTTTGGTTTTTTGGTTGGTTGGTGGCTTTTTGTTTGTGTTTGTTTTGGTTTATTTTATTTTCAAACCTATTTATTTATATGCGGAAAGGAAGGTGTTACACTCTGTAATGTATTATTCGTTTTATGTGTTGTGTGCTTCTGAATCATGGAAATGTGAGTCTGCTGTAGCTGCCAAAATAGTCATTCAGCCCTGAATTCAGATCATGGAGACAGCCATATTAATGATCATTACACCAAGTAGTTTCTAAACAAGATCTTGTCTTTGCTTTCATAATCTCATCCAAACATTATCACAGGGAGATTCAACACATGTAATTATCACAGATTAATGAAACTTAATTAGTATGTGTGTATAAAGAAATTGAGATATATGGAAGATTGTCAAATTGATATTCATATTTCTTAGTCAGCAGTAAAACCTATTTAAAAGGTAGTTAAATGTATAAAGGGTAAACACTTGTGATTTAAGTGCCCACTATGATTTCAGGACATAAGTTATTTAGAAAAAACAACAGATTTATAGGAGACAACTGAAATGGTTAGCAGACAGTAATGGATAGGTATAGAACTGAGCAAGTCAAGACTAGATTCACGGATGGGTTTATAGTGAGACAGTCAATTTAAAGGGTTTGAAGGTAGAAAGTGTGTGAGCTGTGTTTTTCAAAGGTTCAGAAAATATCCTATGTCTAGTTTTTTAAAATCTGGTTTTGTAGTTACATGTACATTTCTATCATACTGTAAGATAATAATGTGTTGTTTGGTTTTGGTCGGTTGGTTGGTTTTGGGTTTTATGTAGTATAGAGAGGGATCAGACATGTCTATAAGGTTAGTTACAGGTGCTGTATAGAAAAGTATCTTATTCATACCCCAGGATAGGATCATAAATCTGTAGTTCACGAATGGTCAATACCCTCAACTCTTCTGAAAAATTAGCTCAGAGTTGACATCACTGGCCAAAAGAAGCAGCATCTGTTATATGATATAGCCAGCAGAATCTGAAGAGAGAATTATGTTCTAAGTTCTTACCTATCTATTCCAGTGTGCTTTTTAATAATTTTTGCACCCTGCTGCATTTTTAGTATCAAATATGCTAAGCATTGCTTTTCATTTGATGTGTTATGTAGGACATTAATTTAATTCCATGTATTTTCAGGCACACAGAGTTGAAACAACCTCAAAGCATCAAATAATTCATTTTGTTGTCTTTTTCTCCCCCCCCCCCCCCGAAAATGCAATTGATTTAATAATATTCTTTTTTTTTAACTTAAAAAAGTAAATTCTTCTTTCATTATAAAAAAAAGGTTGTACTCATCTGAGCATTTCAGTGCTATAGAAACAAATTCAGTAATTACTTGTATACAGTTTCTTAGCTTTCCTTGTTGTATTCTGCCAGAATTTAGCTGTGGGTTTTATTGCTTAGGGTTTTTTTTATTTTTGTGGGAAAGACAGAGCAAAGACAGGTGGTTTATTCTGAAAGTATAACAGCTTCTTCAGGTATTCATTCTTTCTCTCTTGAAAAGATGTTCTGTAGTAATGAATCTGTTGTTTCTGATGCCTCACTTCAGTAGATCAGTCATTTCAGAATTTAAATCACAGTGTAAGCCATGACATTCTTACCTCTTTTTTTTCCTAACATACTTTTATATGTGCTTACTTAAAGGAGGGCTTGCTGGATTGTGTTGAAAACCGTGTTCATCAGCTAGAAGATCTAGAAGCAGCATTTGCAGATTTGTGTGAGAGCGATGATGAAGAGACCCTACAGAAGTGGGCTTCATATCCTGGGTAAGAGATTTCTAAATGTCTTAAAATGCAAGTATTACTTTGGGAAATGATTAGCCCAGCACTTTTTTGACAGAAAAGGAGAGAGGCTGGATAGGATCTATGCAAGGCTACTGTTTTTCCTTTAGTTTAGAGGAGAAAAAGTCAAACAAAACAGAAGGAAATGCAGTCCATTGTCTTCAGTGCCATGGTAAGCTTTCCAAGGTCAGCCTTGTAAAGCTTCATGCAAGTTCTGTTGCCTGTGGAGGGAGGCATGGTTGGTGACTAAAAATTGAGTGATCTGTCTGAAGCAGAGCTCTCAAAAAAGCACAAAACTACGGAGGACACAGTGAAAGACTTCTGTGGGGTTCACAAAGGTTCTGTTTTGTGAATGAAAGTCTGTACCTGAGTAACAGTGTCCACAAAATGTCTCGGAAGCATCCAGTATGCTTTTAAATTAAATGTTTTCAGCTTAAAAGAAACAAGAAAAGTCCGAGCTTTCCCTTGATAGGAAAATCACTCATTTTCCCCATCTAATGCAGCTGTTATTGCTAGACTGGTGTTACAGTGACCACAAGCATTTCCTGTCAAGTTCATATGACTTTAAGCTACAACAGCTTCCCTCCAGTTCTGCCCTAAAAGAAGTGCAAAGAGGCCTTGCCAGAGGCAGGTATGAGTACAGGGGCTTTTAAAAAAAAAAAAACAACAACAATGAAAAACAACAAACTGGTGGAACAGTACAATAGTACTGACAATTTCCAGTCTTCTCAGGTGCAAGATGACAGAGGGGCAAATTTTATTTTCACATCCTAGGCCCAATCCTTTCTTCTTTTTTTTTACCTCTCTCTTTTTTACACGTAAGGTAAATGTATGTTTCCAGCTGTTTCTCTAAGAAGTTTTATTTTTGTTTTAACTCCAGAATGAAGCCACTTGTTCAACTAGTTCACAGTTTGAAAACCAGGATGGAAAGCCCGGACTATGAAATGGTAGGTGACTAGGTAAAAGCAGAAAGTAGACACGTTTCAAAAGCATAGCTTCAACAGAGAGGGAAAAGATCATGCTTCATTTAAGACTTGATTCATTTTCACATTGAATTTGTGAGATTTTGGTAGTTTTCCTTTTTTTTTTTTTGTATCTTGTTGCTTAGGCCAGCTTTTCTATTTCAAGGTTCTAAAATTCTAGTACTCTTGTTTATATTTAGAGAACATTAATGTGATCTTTCAGGACTGTGACGTCTCAGGCTGCTTCCTGTGAAGATGGTTTCATTTTACCAGGGTCTGTTGATATACTTTATAGAACTTAAGTTACTTGTTTGTAAAAGATCAGACCTATCATTTTCAAGGACTGCAGCATCCTCTGAATTCATAGGAGAGGTACAGTGTACTGAAGATAATGAAACAATCCATATGACCTCTGAATTTTATTCTTTTTGTTCAAAGAACAAGTTGGGGTAAAAAACAACTCTTACTGCCTGGAGAGGTGTAAGTTACCTGCTGGGCTAGGGATGGTATTTTAGAGGCTTTCTGCACAGATAAGCTGTATCAATGATTCATCATCAGAAATTAGATCTCTGGTTAATTTACATGTAGGTCCATCAGGCTGGTCTGACCTGTGATTATATGGAGCTTCCTCACCATGTTAGCACTGAAGAGGAGATCGAAGGCCTCATAAAATCTGTAAAAGTTCTACTAAAAGATATGCCTAAGCCCACTCTTGTGACAATTGCTCGGTAAGACTATGTAGACACTTCTACTTTAAAACTCTCAGAATATGCTTATGTAGCTAAATGATTTTATCAATATAGCACTGGTTGGCACGTCTTATATTCTGTCTTAAAATGGAAACCTTACAGTGTAGTGAAAATTGATAACTGAAAAAGTTGTCAATTTGATCATAAATCATTGACAGGTTTACTGCTGACGGCTGTTTTTTCTGGGCTTTAGAATAGCTAGTACAGATTGCAGAAGCATTGAAACCATGATGACTTAATCAGCTTCAGCACAGGCTGTACAAAGCCTGTGATGAGGCCTGGAGTGTGCTGAGATTGATAGCTGTCACTGAGGTTCATACTTCTCCACTACTTGTATTACTTGTGCTAGTTAGAGCAAAGCTAGCATGGGCTGAAATCACATCTTCCTTATTCTATTGCTTGAGGGCTTATTGTACTACAGATAGGACTTTTGGTTTTGGCAAAACTTCCGATGGAAGTGGCTTTCATCTATTAGGCTGAAAGAAATTTATATTCTAGAAAGCTGTAGTAAAGCTTTGTATGGGGTAAAAGTTACTTTATTTGGGAGAACAGGATGGAGTTTGAGGCCAGGGACCTGGGATAACTAGGGATCTGTCCTGGGAAAACTTAATTTGAAGACAACAGTGTATCTGCTGGCAAATTGTAATTTAATCACTTCAAAAATACTAAGTGTGCCCTTAAAGGGAAGGCAGCAATAGCAGAAGCAGACATGCAATTGTTCTTGTCAACAAGATTCAGTATGGCTAACACCTGCAATAAAAGAAAGCTGTATTTCCTGTGCCAGCTGCAGGGTTATCATCCACTCTTGCAGAGAAAACAGAATCATTTATGTAGATCTTGACAGATAGAAAATCCAAGAATTGTCAGCTCTGCTTTTTTGCTGTTTGCAGTTCATTAATAGATACTGTAAATAATGTTATATCCCAAGGATTGTGAAAACTTTTTTTTCCAAGTTTTCCTACCTATTTTACTAATAGCATTTGAATTTTTCGATCTTAACTTTCCACCAGTCCTTTAATAGATCATTTGCTTGAACTTTGACTGCCAACCTGTTCTGTGTTAGAGGAAGAGAGTAGAACTGAAAGGATGAATGGGCACATTCCTGATCTGTCACTGACTTTATATTAAACTTGCAAACTGTTACCATCGTAAGTATTGAGGAGGAGCTCTATGCTTTGAAGGGATACTGGGAGGCAGAACTCACCACAGTTTGAAAGTAGCTTCAGTCTAGATGCAGAGCATTAAAAGAATACAAAATGTGGTCATGGTGGTGATACCTGTACTCTTTCATGCTTTTTTCAATTCCTATAGATCAAGTTTGGATGACTATTGCCCTTCAGAACAGGTTGACATCATTCAAGAGAAGGTTCTCAATTTACTAGGTTCAGTGTATGGCACTCTTGATGTGCACTTGGATTACTCAAGCATCTCATCTTCTTTGTGACGTTTCTTCATGTATTGCCATCTAATGCAGTGGATTAATTTAAATTGTGTATTACCTGTGGTTGCAAGTGGGAAATTGCTGTTATTTCAGCAGGTGGCACTAGAACCCAAGCTGACCCAGAGTCAGGTGCGAGTCACATTGCTTTCTCCAAGTTAGCTGCATCTGAACTGGCCTCGTTCAGATTAGTTCTGTGGTATTTTTACTGTCTTGCTTCTTAAAATTGATGCAAGAGAAACTATTTTTGTCCATAGAATGTATTTTTTCACCTGATTTAACTGTCTGCAAAAAAAAAAAAAAAAGTACTATATATAACTTCTTAAATAATTTATTTTCTGTAATTAAACTTTTTTGATGGAGTTTGGTGAGTAACAGACTTGTTCCTGCTGCACTGTACCTTTTAAAACATTACCTCAATAATGTCATTAAGACATTAGGTTTGCACAGTGATGTTTCTTAACTGCTATGCCTAAGATGATCAGGCATCCCCCTCTCATTTCTCTAGAGCAGCTTATGGCTTCTGCCCCTTCTGCAGCATTTCATTTATATTTATACTCTGTTGCATTAATATTGTCTTATTTTGCCTTAGAGTATTCCATTGGTGACTCAGATAATGTACAGACATGGGCTTGCTATTTTCATTTTTACATATTTTTGAGGATAAAAAGTATGGGTGCATGTGCATGCTTTTATCTGTTTAATCCTGTAAGAAGTTAAATTGACGGTTTCTTCAGAAACAAAGATTTAACTTCATTGAAGTCAGCAGAAAAACCTTCTGTAGGAGGCTCTAGAGAAAACTGCCACTTGCAGAGGAAAAAAAACTCATACAGGATTTATTTGGGAATGATACTGAAATGGGAAAGACAAAAAAACACCTCAATTATTCACTATTATGAATAAATTTTGCTTGTAATTTCTTCTGAAGTAGTTAAGTTCATTTGCTAACAAAGACTTTGTGCACTTTTACAGTTTTTTAAAACTTCTGTTGTAGATATGACTATATTATAGATTGTAAATATATAATTATTTTAAAATATTTCTCCCAATAGAATAAATTCCATGACCATGGACCAATTTTCTTCGTGCTTATGTATTCCTTTGTACGTATATATTCCTTCCAAGGCATGGCTAGCCTTGGATCCAAGATCTTTAATACTTCATTAATAGGTATACACTGCATACAGAAACTAAGTGGAGTCAGATCACATACTGCTTGTGCACATTTTGTTTTCTTTAAAGTAAAAGATGCTCTTTGCTGGAGTTTGAGTAAGGTTGTAGAAAACAAAAAAAAACGCCATTGGATCAAAGGTGTGAGGCATACTCCTACTCTGTGGAGAATTTCAAGGCCTGGCTGGATGGGGATTTGAGCAAC